CTAATTACAGCCTGCTCACATCTAGGGTATAACCAAGTCTTACCCATTTCTCTGCGTAATCCCTCGGCAAGTCTTTTCTGAACTTCAGCCTTTTTCGCTTTACCCACTGGCTTCTGAGATCTAGAATTCTTTCCTTTCAACTTCATTTAATATATAGCAAAAAAAAAAAAAAAATTGCTGTTGTACCCTTTCTTCATAACCTTCCTTAAACCTTTTGTCCTGGCTCTCTTACCTGTCACATAAAATTTAAGCTCAGTCAATTGGTTTTGATCATAGTGCTAAAGAAGCTAAGGTCAAAGGTTAAATACCAGAAAAAGCTTATAAATTCCTTGACTTAGAGCATGAAAAGAATTTAACAATGACTTAATACAACCCTTTTATTTCACAGGTGAGATTATCAAGGCCCAGGAAGACCATGTTCACATAGAAAATGCATCTATGCATAGCTCAGGATGATCTTCAATCTTACACAATTATTTTGAAAATTCTTATTTCGTATTTCCAGGAGTCAGGTAAGAATGTGGATTGCATCATATAATCATCACCCTCCTGGAGGAGGTGGGGCAACCTCAAAGCCCTTTTAAAGTTCTCTTCCTAATTGCCAATACCTTTTTCACAGAGGTATGTGTCCAATCCTGAGCCCCAACTTGTGTTTCTCTATTATGTCAGCTGACTACTGAGGAGGAGAAAAGCCACGTAAAGACCATGGATAGGATGTAGAGTGTGGTGGTGAGATGCAAGGATCCTGGAGACACACAAGTTTCAAGTTCCAGCTCTGCCATCTCCTAGCCTTCTTACTTTGGACGAGTTTCTTAACCTCTCTAAGGGTAAGTTTTGTAACTGGGAAAGTGGGGATAATACTAGGCCTTACCTTGTCTAGTTATTGGGAGGGTGAGATGAATAACCCTGAGCCAGCCTTCCTTATCCTCATTCAGGCTTTTATTTGTCACATGTGTCACAAGCCCAGACCCTCACATTTCTCATGGAGAGCTTCTTCCTCACATTTCTCAAGGAGAGCTTCTTCCTGGGTGGGAGAAATCTAGTCTCCTTTCCTAGCAGATGGCTCCAGCTGGAAACTCCTCGGTCCATCAGAGATATGCTAACAACATTAAACCTCAAGAGAGAAGAGATGAGGTCAATCCCTTGTATTACTAGAAAGCTTCTTGGTACCTTGTGGAAATAGGCTTTCACTTACCCTATACCACATACACCAACCGGCAACCTCTAGATACCAAGGAGCATAGAGAGGGGCTGCCATTGTCTGGCCAAACAAAGTCCTGTCACACCTTTCCTCAGAATGAAGCATGCCTATTACTGCACATTCATATTTCTGAAAAGAGCCAAATAAATGGTTCTTCCCAGAACAAAGAAGATCTGGTCCAAGCTGGTCTGATATCACTAACACCAGAAACACACTTTTAAACAGCAGTTATTCTTCAGAATACTATGAAAAATTGTACTCTAACAAATTTGAAAACCTAGAGGAAATGGACAAATTTTCTAGAAACTTACTACCTACCTAAACTAACACAAACAGAGGTAGAACAACTAAATAAATCCATAACAAAAGAAGAGCTTGAAAAGGTAATTAAAAAAACTCCCAACAAAAAAAGCCCTGGCCTAGATGGCTTCACTGGAGAATTCTACCAAACTTTCAGAGAAGAGTTAACACCACTACTACTAAAGGTACTTCAGAGCATAGAAAAGAATGGAATACTGCCAAACTCATTCTATAAAGCCAGCATAACCCTGATACCCAAACCAGGTAAAGACACCATAAAAAAAGAAAATTAGAGACCAATATCCATCATGAACATTGATGCAAAAATCCTCAACAAAATTCTAGCCAATAGAATTCAGCAACATATCAAAAAAATAATTCACCATGATCAAGTGGGATTTATACCA